TTGTACATTCCCTGTGTGTGTGTGTGTGTGTGTGTGTGTGTGTGTGTCTCCTTGGCCAATTGGCGCAAATCGCTTTGAGTGCTTTTGTCGCGCTTGTCGTGAATTGAATTGAATTTAAAATGTTGAGTAATTAGGAGGAATTAGGCGTTCAGTGGTAGAGGAGACATCAAGGGAATGACTACGACTACTGTCCTCTCCCGTTTCACGTCCCCATTGTTCATTGTGCGTTGCAGAAAAGTCGGGGTTTGTGTAGTGGTGCAATTAAAATGGCGCTCTAACTGTTCGAACATTGGACTCTTTTGCATTATTTTCGCCCGTTCCGTTTTTCTTCTGAAGCAAATGAAAAGAAGCTGACAATGTATGTTTCCCTCCCCCACCCCCGTTGCTTGTCAGTTGTGCACGAATTTTGCTGAATTTCACTGCTGATGTCGTTTCACCAGTGATTCAATAGTCCTCAGTGACTTTTCTCTCTTTCTGAGTATTTCTGAGTATCTCTGTCTCTCTCCTTGTTTCTTTCTTTCAAATGGTAAGCAGAATAGCACAAACGCCTTTCCCTTCTACACTTTTCTTCAATTTTTGTCTGGCAATGTTTTTGTCTATTGCCTATTCCTCTATTGCCAATCAATTACGTCCCCTCTCTAGCTTTCCCTCACCCTCACTACTCCTCTCTTTTGACTTGTATTTGCATAAATTGGTCCAGTGATCGATGTTCGGCCATTTGTTGGTTTTCTCACAGACAACCCAGTGCGGGCTGCTGCTTCTGCTGTTGCTGTTGCCACTATTGAATCGTCCTCCTCTTCGCAATTGCTCAAACATCATCGGCAATTTGTCTGCTGCTGCCGCCACGCTTTATCCAATGTGCTTTGCTTTGCTTTGCTTTGCTTCTCTGGAAATGGCAACTGTCATGTTGTTCATGTTGTTGTTGTTGCGTCTAGTGCTGTGTGCACAAGTGCCACCAGGTCTCCAGAATAAGAATCCGATGTGTTTGAAAAGAGAAAAAACGCAACGAAAAGGCAAGCCCTAGGGTTTGCTGTGCTCGAGAGCTGATTTCCGAAGCACTATTTGAATGTGTCAGTTGTGGGGAGGGAAGACGAAGTAGACCACTGATTTTGTCATGTCCCTTAAAGTTTGTTCGAAGACGCAGACTGTTACCGTCGACACTTTTACATTGCAGCCATTCTCGCCAGTTTTTCTGGCTGTCTGGAATTGCAATTAAAATAAAAAGTGCGCACACACACCCACAGCTCAGCAGCAGTTTCAGCGATTTCATTTTCCATCTCGCTGGCACTACTTTACTTTCTCTCTTTTTTTCCAACTTTCCCAACTTGTGACGATATTATCAATATTTCAGCGCATTTGCATATTCTAATGCGTTATGGTGAATTTGTGTTTTGTTGCTACTTCTTCTTTTTACTTTGTTCTCTAGCTTTTTTTGTTTTTTACTACTGCTTTTTTCTATTTCTCCTTTTCTTCTCTAGCTACAACCCAAATTTGAGCACATTTTTTGCTTTCATTTATTTTTTTATTAGNGTGACGATATTATCAATATTTCAGCGCATTTGCATATTCTAATGCGTTATAGTGAATTTGTGTTTTGTTGCTACTTCTTCTTTTTACTTTGTTCTCTAGCTTTTTTTTGTTTTTTACTACTGTTTTTTTTCTATTTCTCCTTTTCTTCTCTAGCTACAACCCAAATTTGAGCACATTTTTTGCTTTCATTTATTTTTATATTACAGCGGCTAGTAGCTGCTGTAGTCAAAAACAGTAGTTTTTAGTTTTTTTAGTGGCCGCTCAGTTAGTTCTCGCCATTGCTAGACTGTAAAGTTTAATTTATCCAAATTAAAATTTGTAATACCAATGAATTATTGATTGACAATTGTGCGCTCTAGACGCACACTGGGGACCACAAGTACTACAACTACAACTACCAAAGCAAACGAAACTGTAATGCAAATGCAAATGAAAATGAGTTAAGTTTACAGGGCAATTGAATTGGTACAATCGCATTACGGTTCTACTCTGTTTGACTACCACTTTAAAATGTCTCATTTTTCTTTTTCTTTTGCTTTTTCATTCTCTCTGTATGTGTTTAATTAATTTGTTTGCCGTCACCGATGAGTTTCGGTGCAGTGTAAGAAGAAGAAGAAGAAGGCGAAGGCACATTCGAATGATCGCTGATTACTCGATTATTAATCTAATTAGTGCGGTGCTGCAATGGAGAACAGTTCAGTGAAAAGGGAGGTATTGATGATAGGCATGATTGTACACTGCAACTACTAACGAATTAATTAGCCTCATTAATTACGATGGTGAGCTCGCGGCGGCAGTACACAGATCGTAAGGGAGCAATGCGAGCATTGCCCATTGTCTCTCTGCGGAATTGGCTGCAAATGCGGTTGTTATCGATGGCCAATCGAAGACTCGTAAACGAGGGCAATCGAAGGGGCACTTTGGTGATGGCGATGGTGATGATCACTAGTCGATGATTTATTGGCCTTCTTTTTTTATTGAGCGCTAGCGCTTATCGAGGCTACTGATCACCCCTGTTCCAGCTATTATTGCTCAAACTAATTTTATTGTTTGGTCGTGTAGGGATGCCCGTTTTACCGTTAACGTTTAATACACACTGGTTTTTTTTACTTTCCTCCTTTTGTGCGACTCTACCGCTGCTGCTGCTGCTTTTTCATGTATGTCATTTGCCTATCTCTTTTCATAGTCTAATTAGTTGATGGTGGCTTCCGTATGACTTGTAGACACAAGTTTAGTGGCTCAGTTTATTGCTGTACAACATGGGCTATTGTTAATTACTGTGACCATTTTCAGATTTTTTTCTTTTCATAAATAAGCTTACTACACTGCCATTTTCAATGGCACTTACCATGTGTTTATGCTTTCTAAATCCAAATCAAAAGTCAAGTCTTATTGTGGATGTGCCACTATCACTCACGCAATTATGTCCTACAGTAATGCTCGACACAAGAAAACATGATGCTTCACAGTGTGACTTGAAGCAAGTTGTGTACTTTCCTTTTTTGGACCGTTTGTAAGGGTCCTCGCACAGACAGAGAGCATTGATGCTTCACTGTCGTTGCAATTATCATCCTCTCCTCTTTGCTAGTCATTAGTATTTATTACCATTGCAGAAATCGCTGCAAATGCTGCTGCTGATGTTGCTCCAGCCTGGCCAATTATTATTGATAGCTAGAAGAAACTGATTCTTGAAGAGAAAGTCATTGCCGAGCAGTGCTATCGATTGTGTGAGTGCTTGCTTGTAATGGCCACCAACCAGCAAACGAACAAAGTATTCCAGCGAGTGGGGAAAGCACTGCAAGTGCATCTCAGCAGCACTCTTTACTCGTCAAGTCATTCACAGTCACAGTCAA